CATGCTAATCAAAAGAAAGCAGGAGTAGCTACATTAATTTGAGACAGCAGATTTCAAAGCAAAGAAAGTTATCAGGGATAAAGAAGGGCATTACATAACGATAAACGGGTCAACTCTTCAAGAAGACATAACAACCCTTAACAAGTATGCACCTAACAATGGAGCATCAAAATAGGGTGAGGCAAAAACCGGGAGAACTGCAAGGATAAATAAATAGATGAATCCCCTATCATAGTAGGAATTGCGTTTCCATAGTGTAGTTATCATGCTTGCCTCACTATTCACAGTTGGAGACTTCAGCACCCCTCTATCATAAAATGGACAGACTCAAAAGGTAGAAATTCAGTGAGGACATAGTTGAACTCAAAACTATATCTCCAAGCTTTTTTTGCAGCAAGGTGTGGCAAGTAACCAAGTTCTAGAAAAAAAGGACCTAAAGCAAAGTATTATTTGTTGATTTACAGGAATCCTTAACAGAGAGCCATTTCATTCCTTTTGGACTTTCTTTCTCCCCTTACCTTCCTTCTATTTCCTGGGATATCGACGTGATGGTTGAAGCTGGAGCTGCTGTCATAAATTATGACATAACTGTGGATATGGCGGTAACTTTGATGGGAGAACAAGATGGAAGGAAGTAGCCTGAATTCTAGATTTTACTTAAATTTATCTGTAGACTTTTAGGAGTGAGAGAAATAGGCTTGCTTAAGCCACTGTTACTTTGGGGTTTTTGTCATGTGTGATGGAACCTAAGTCTAAATAACACCAAACCCAATTAAGAAATAGATGCAGGAGTTGGATTGTGGTCAGCATATAAATTTTTCAATTGAAGATGGATTAGAGAACATGGCTTAGACTTGCAACCAAAGATGTGGGGTCCTACTATTAGCACCATCTAAGTCTAGGTCTTGAGCTGATATGTTAGAAGTGCAGACTACAGAGCAGATATCTAACAAGCCAGAGGTTTCTTAAATCTTAGTGTGCCTATGAATCACCTGGGGATCTTGTTGGAACACATATTCTGACTCAGGAGGTCTGGGATGGGGCCTGAGATTCTGCTTTTCTTATTAGCTTCAAGTGTTGATGCTGCTGGTCCACAGATCACACTCTGGATAGTAAGCACGCATTTCACACCCCATTGAAGTAAATCAGAGCCAAGAGATAAGGCACCTGAGCATGTCTTGAACCCTACTCTGGACTCTGACCTTGCATGGAATCTAAAGGGAGGAGTTATTGGGCTGTTGGAAAAGTCATGACTCATTTTCGAAATGAAAAACAGAAAAAATACGTCATGAGTTTTCTAACAACCCATTAGTAAGAAATAGAGAAAAGGCAGCCTCAGTACATGTGTTCTCAAAACTGACTGCACACTAAATACCTGGGGAGCCTCAAAACATGCTGCTGTCTGTGTTCCACCTGCTGAGATCCTGGCTCTGGGTTTGACCTAGGAATTGGGAGATTTAAAAGCTTTTCAGATGATCCTAAGGGGCATCCAAGTCTGGGACCCACTGCCCTAAAGGGCTAGTATTCTGGTAGAAGTTCTTGTTTATGGGTTGAGGCAAGAACTCTGAGAAAAGAAATGTCCCTCCTATGCTCCAAGTTGGGACTTGGGTTAGGTGAGAGAGGAATCTGCCTTGGGCAGTCAGTAAGGGGGTGGTGGTGGAAACACTAAAAAATTTAGTAATAAAAATAAATGTTTAATGCAATATTATTTAAAAATCAAAATTAACACAGGAAATCCACAATAAATAGAATATAAAATTTTTAAATAAGAACAAGATATGTAATAGTATTGCTTGAAGCCATATTGGAGCTTGAGACAAAAGAAAGAGCAGTATCCTGACCCCACAGGCTATTCTCACCAGCTTTCTTTCTTTTTTTCTTTTTAATGTCATCAAGCTTTCTTTCTTTCTTTTTGTAATTGGGGAATTGGGAGGGGGGAACAGTGTTGGGGAATTGGGGAGGGGGACCAGCCCAGTTATTGTTCTTCAATCGTAGTTGTGGAGGGCGTCAGTCGCCATCTGGCTGCCCGTCGGCAATTCGTGGCCTCTAAGCTCAAGATGCTATGTTACAATCTTAGTTTTGGGTGGGCGTAGCCACCATCCCATGTGGGAGTCAAACCTGGGAGCCTTGTTGTTAAGAGTGCACGCTCTAGCCACTGAGCCATCTGGGCGGCAGCTCAGCTCAAGGTGCAGAGTTCAGTCTTAGTTGCAGGCGGGCGTAGCCCACCATGGAATGGCAGTGTTGTTGTTAGGAGCACATGCTCTCACCAGCTGAGCCATCCTGCCACCTGTTGGCAGTTCAGTGGCAGCTCAGCTCACTGGCCCATGTGGGAATTGAACTGGCGGCCCTGTTGCTCAGAGCTCACACTCTTAAGCTAACTCTTAACCAAGTGAGCCCCTCGGCTGCCCCTCACCAACTTTCTGTTCTCCTAACCCCTGGGACTAAATACGCCTAACTTCTACTCCTCTAAACCTGAAAAAAGCATTGGGCAGATCAACCTTTGCCCTCGGATGGTTCTGAAATGGGTCATAGCAGTCTTTTAAATAAATTAACCAAGATAAAATAATAATAATAATAATAATAATAGTAGCAGCAGACATTTATTGAGTTCTAAGTGCTTTACAAATATTAACTCATTTAATACTCACACGATTTTATGAGGTATTATGCTATTTATGCTATCATCCCTATTTACAATAGAGGAAACTAAGGCACAAAGTTTCAATTGGTTTGCCCCACATTACATAGCAAATAAGAAGCTGAATTGAGAGTCAAACCCAGGCAATTTCGCTCCGAAGTCCATGCTCATGACCACCAGCTCTAATACTGTGACCTAAGTAGAAAATGCACCTCTTATTTTCATTTTTGTCCATAGTGTGCCTAGTCATGGTTTCAATATTGCTCAACAGAGCCATGTAACGAATCCACATAGTAACATTAAAAATGCTCCCCCAAAACAAAAACAACCAAAAATGTTAGCAATGCAGTGACCAAATTTGAATAATGCGAACCTTCGGTTTTTATTACATTTCAGGTAAGATGTTAAGGTCACCAAATTAAGCTGCCAGTTACCGGGCAGTTTCCCATGCTGGCTGTCACTGCCCCGGTGTGGGGGCTGCTGGACCGGGCGCAGGGCAGGGGAGGGGCGGGGCCGGGCAGAGGCGTCACCGGATCGTGTACTTGTCCCACTTCTTCTCAGGGTCGTAGGGCTCCCAGCGGCTGGCGGGGAAGATGTGCTTGTTCTTCTCGTACCAGCTCCTCAGCACCACCTTGCCGGCGTGTGACTCGTCCTTCTCCATGGTGGCGTCGCTCAGCAGCCGCACGTCATCGTGCACGTGGAAGTTGAAGAGCGGCCCGCTTTTGCCGCGGGCCTTGGTGACGATGAAGTCGTAGAAGGTGTGGTAGTGGGGCAGTATTAGGTCCTCCTTGACGTACATGAGCTGCTCCACGCCGGCCGCCCGCAGCTCGCGGAAGTCCTGGCGCAGCCCCTGCAGGGCCTTCTTGAGGAACTGCTGCACGGTGCCGCCCTTGTGGATGCGCACGGTGCGCCGGTGCCCCGAGCCGTCCCAGTAGCTGAACGTGACCTCCATCTCCTCGCGCTTCACCTGTTCGCGCTTAGCCTCCCACTCCTGCCGCAGCTCCTCCCGCAGCCGGTTTTCCTCCTCCTCGCGGTCGTGGTCCGGCAGGAAGCTCGTGTCCACGTCGGGATCCTTGCCCAGGTTCTTCCTCCTCTTGCGCATCCCCGCGGGTTGGGGCCGCTCGGCCGCCGCCCGGCCCTCAGCGCGCTCGCCGCCCTCGCCGCCCTCGCCGCCCTCGCCGCCCTCGTCGCCCTCGTCGAGGGTGAAGGACAGGCTGGAGATCTGGCGCTTCTGCTCCTGCCTGCGCTCCCTCTCGCGCAGCGCCTCCAGCTGCCGCCTCCGCGCCTCCAGCTGCTCCCTCCGGGCCATCTGCCTCTCGCGCTCCCTCAGCAGGGCCTCCTGCTTGGCCTTCATGTCGTTCAGGGTCACCAGACCCACCGTGCTGGACTTCAGCTCGGCCTCCACGGCATCGTAATGGGCCGAGAATTTCTTGTCCACCTTGGACTTGACGATGGTCTCCTCGGCGATGCGCTGCTTCAGCACCGCCATCTGCTCTTTCTGCTTCTCCCGCTTCTTGATCAGGTGCATGGCCCGGCCGGCCTCGCGCGTGGTGCCCTTGTACTGAGCCATGCCCGCCGCTCCGCACGCCCAAAGCCACGCGGGTGAGTTTGGGGGCTAATGCATAGATTCTGCATCAGTGACCGAAAATCACGTGAGCTAGAAAGGGACCAAAATAACAGAGCGATTAATGGTGTAGATTGACACATGCTAAAGAACTTGCTGCAATAATGGAAAGGTTCCGTAGCTGTTCTGACCTGGATGTGGCCATGTAAGGCTACTGAACACTTGAAATATGGCTAATGCCATCAAGGCACCGATTTTTACATTTTATTTCCATTAATTTAAATTTAATTAGCCACGTGTGACTAGTGGCTCCCATACTGGACAGGGCAAGGCTAGATTTTGGGAGCTGCACATGGAGTGGGTTGATCTACAGAGCAAACACTTACCTGTTCAGGTACTGCGTACTTTGTCAAGTGCAGACATGGAAGAGTCAGAGCACTAAGAAGGCAGGCCTGCAGTGGAGTTGGGCCTGGATTCTAGTGTTTTGACCACAGGAAAACAGAGTCTGAGAGCAAAATGCCTCCTTTCCCCACAAGGCTGGCCCTGGAGGAGAAAGCACCTATCTCCTCAGTCGGATACATGGCTCCTCCAGGGGACACAGCAAGTGAGGAGAGAAGGATCAGACAGAAGCATCTTGCAGTACTTCCCTAGAGGAGGTAATGTTAGCTAAGTTGCCATTAATATGTTACGGGCGAGACAGGACCATGTTAGTCCCTACCTCTCCCTTAAGAATCATTCCTGCAGTGAATACTTGACTCCGCCTCATGCCCAGTGCTATCATGTGGAGATGCGGTGTGGGCACAGCCTTATTTGCCGTGGGAAACAAGGAATCCCAGGAACTGGAGAGGGCAGAGGACATTTAAGTAAAAAACTGCCTTCTTGGTGTTTCCGCCAAAGCAGAGTGAGACAACCCCTGATCCTAATTTTATTGGACTCCACCTGAGCCAACAGTCTGCGTCATGCACCATAGCTCCATTATCAGCAGGACCCTCATCACATGTCTGCCCGACCATCCCCTACCCTCCTGAACTCTCCCGCTGCCCGCTGGAATGCAGTGTCTCATCAGCAGACTCTCCTAAATCCTCACCCACTGCTTAGAACCTTCCCTTACAGGGAACTGGCTGTTCCCTGAGGAGGTCACTTCTCCCTACAGCTCCCTGCAGTAGAGGTGGTTTTCCTCTGTTGTTCCACATCATCTCAAAGTCTAAAATCTAAAAGTGGGATGAGTGTCTTTGTTCTTTCAAAAACATTGCTTTTATTTTCTTTATAACTCCCTGGAAGCTCATGCAATCCAGTGATACTGGCCCTGCTGTTGCTGTCATCTCTGGACTTCCCTGTCTTCCTCCTGAAACCTCGAGGCTTAGCATCGGGCTCAGCAGCCTCCTCCTCCCGCGTCATCCATCACCATCCTGGATGTCATCAGCGTGACCAACAAACACCTTGACCTCTTCACTTCTGATCATCTCTGCCCTTGTCACACCCTAGTTCTTTTCACTACCAGGAAGTGCCCCATCTTCAAAATCTTAACTATCACCTCCTTTCCTTTCTAATTCCTTACCTAGTACCCCAATTCCAGCTGTCCTCTGATAGCTTGAGATCTCTGATCCAAAGACCCCATCACCTCTCCATTATCATAACACATTTATGTGCTTACACCCTCGTTAACCACCAAAGATGCATACTCGCATGTTCCTTTCCTTTCCTGGAAAAACCCAAATCTGGTTAAACTCAGCCCTTGTCTTCTTAGTGCCTAAACCCAGGCAGCTGAAGGTTGCTTGAGAAAAGGGCACAACTGTTACTGGCTAGTCTCACTTTAAATTCATGACCTCAAACGTTCGAAGGCAACTCAGAACTGCCTACTGTACTGCCCCAGGGAGTCTCTTGTCCTGCTCTTCAAGACAACTATTTCATACTTCCTTCTGTATCTCCTCACACCTCCAACATCCTCTTGCCTCTCTCCATCCACTCAACTCCCAAGTTGGCTGGTAATAAATATTTGCCAGCACACCACTGGGTAGAGTTCTTTCTTCTGATTCAAACACAGGTATTCTTGGACAATAGAATCCTACATCCCTCTCTCAAACTTCACAGCACCAAAAAAAAAAAAAAACCTGCATTTAATCTGGTTAGAGCTCTTCTGTATGGGAGTTTCCCCAAATATGTGTTCTGTGAAAAAAGGATTCTGAAGTCAGAAACTAACTTCAGAAACTCTGAGTTATAGAAAATTTAATAGCTTCTTTACTGTGAATCTTTAATATGCTTGTTTACACTGTGACTCTCTAAGAGTGGTGTTGAGTGTTCTGTGCTTCCTAAAAGTTTTGGATTGTTAAATGTTCCTTCCTCTACAGAGTTTCTGTAAACATTTCTTGAAACCAGTGCTTCCTGGGGCCTAGTTTGGAAACAGTGGCTGTAAAATAGATGCCAGTCTTGAAGCCTCGCCCCTTCTCATGGCAATGATGCCTGTGAGCACAACTTCAGCAAGAAATCCTTTATTACATGACAACAAAACAAGGCACCTACATGCCAAGAAGAAATACTGTGATGTTACCACTCACCAAATTGGCTGAAAAAGAATTTAGGTTTTTTTTTGGTTTGTTTTGTTTTTTTTCCTGGACTACTGCCCTTCATCTCCCCTTTCCCACCACTTGCCTTAATTCAGGAATTGTGCTTTTTTTGGTTTGTTTTCACCTAAAGCCTCCTCATAGGTGCCCCATCGTTATATCTCATTCTTGCCTATCTTCTATACAATATCCTCAGTAACCCTTATAAGAAATAAACCTGATAATGTTACCCTTCTACCTGAAAATCTCCAGCTCTCCCTTTTATGATCAAATGGGAATCCTTTGTTTTTCCTACATGGTCTCTAATAATGGAACCCACACCCACCCATTTCTCAACACCCACACCATGCAGCAGCCACCCTGAACTTTTCACTGTCCTGAATAGAAGATATCCTTTTATAACTGTTACCTTCAGATATACTCTTCCTAGAAAGTCCTGCTCTCCACTGTGACAGCCGTCAAGATCAGCTCAAATGTCATCTCCTACAGAAAGCCTCTAGCACCCTCCACTGCCACTAACACCCACAGATGCACAAAGTTACCAATATCCTCTTCTCTCCAGTCTCCACCCGTGATTATTAGGCGTAACATAAATCAGATTGCTTTTTCCGTTAGATAATCCAACCTACCACACTTTAATCCAATCAAGCACAGTACGGCCACATCTACTGTAATTGTTCTTTCTCTAATCTAATCAGAACCTGAATGTCAATATACTCCCCCAAACCTCATCATCCCTCTTCCTATTATTTAGCATTTATCCCCTTAACTCAATCACAGTCTCCAATACCATAGCCAGCCAGCCTTCAGAATTAAAAAGGTTAGTCTGAAACTCTTCAGAAAGGTTAACAAGAAAAACAAATAACAGAAGGAAGCCGATTTATTCTATGAGCCTGAAATCCTGATTTTAAGAATTTCCCTGCAAGTTCCAAGAGGGTAACTACTTGTGGCCTCAGTTCTCGTGAAAAGTACCCCACCAAGCTAAAGCTACTGCTTTAAACTCTTATAACTTTATAAATAACAACAACAAAAGAAGTGAGGAAGCAGCAGTCTCCTCCAGTGAATTTGAAATCCTGATTAAATAGACAAACTTTAATTTTGAGAAAATGTAACTTCCTCCAGGCTTAGTTACAAGGTAAAACAAATATGCAAAACAAATGGCAGTAATTTTTAAAATCCCACAAAACTAAAAAGCTAATTCTTTAACTATTTTAATAGGAAAAATACCTCAGTTTTCATTGCAAACAACAAATAAAAAAAGAACAACTTTTGTTATGACTGGTTTTCAACTTATCTTCCACTAGTCTGAATTATGATTAAAAATAATAATCCTGTAAGTGGCAAATATACTGTCCTTTCCAGCATCAGCCTTGATATGAATAGCTGATGGTGGACCAGTGTCTATTATAAAGGGCTGGCCCTACTCAGTTAGTCCAGTTTGGGCCTGGGGTGTGTCTGCTGATAGCATCATCACTCAAGGATCCCTCCAACAGCCATCACTGTATTCTGAACTGGTTGTCCAAGCAAAGCTAGAGGACCTCTTACTCAGATGCCAAAAAACAACAGAACAGAACAAAACTAAAACCCCAAACAAACACCCTGACCAATCAGCACATGACCTCTACAGAATTCTCTCACCAGTTCAGAAATACTTCACAGGACATTTAAAAATAAATGTTATAAAATAAATTTATTGAGTGCTTTCTAATGGAGGGGCTTTAAAATGTCTTCCAACCTTTGCTTGGGAGAAATCCAATACTTGGACATGCATCAGGGTCAGAGGAAGAACCTTCATGTGTTCAGAAACAGGAGAGTGCAAAACATACTAGATGAAAAAAGCAACCCATAGTTTCCATATGTGTTCAGTGGAAAAAAAACCACAAACACCTAACACAAGATGTCACAGATTTCAAAATAGATTCTGAAGCATAAATGTCTCTGAGTTTTGTGAGATCTAAATGTTTTTTCTCTGGTTTTTATCCAAGTAACACACATGTATGGTTTTTAAAGAAAGTAATACTAAAAGGATTCTTTTAACAAACAAAAGCAAGCAGTTTCTGGTTTAATCACTATATTTTTCTAGAGGCAAGCACTTTCAATCCTTTCAGATGTTCCTTCTCATTACGTACCTTCTTATTTTTCAATAATTCTTATATTGCTATTTGGTGACTAATTAATTTTACTTTATCTATTGGCTTCTTCTTATGGTGGATGAAGATTTAATTTTCTTCTCTACAATAGTCTAAAATGTCTGGCCAACTCATGTGAAGAAGAGGGTATTATGGAGGTTGTTAGTATTTAAACCAGATAAGAAAAATGCAAGGAATTATATACCAATCTTAATTATAAATATAGTGGCAAAAATCCCAAATATTAGCAAACTGAATTCAGAAGTTTCATGCCTGCACATGAAACTCAAAAACATTAGCAAACTAGACCTAGAAGGAAACTTCCTTAAGTT